GGAAAGATGCCTTAGATCATTCTAAAGGTACTTTTCTGTATTAATGTTTTGTCAGTCTACCATAAATTTAATGATTGGTTGACAAGAGAATGCAGGAAAATATAACATTCATGGTTTGTGAATTTTTCTGTTCTTGAATTCAATACAAATGCTCCACTCAGAGAAAGAGGCTGTTTCCCGCAGACAGTTCAAATAACACACTGTTTGATAAATGCTCACAGTAAAATACCACAAATTTAACATTTATTGTGTCTTCAACTTTGGTAATAACTACCTCGATGCATAATGATCTGTAAGAAATCACATTTACTTAATGTAAATAGACATATTCTTACTAAATTTATTAAAATATTTCTATATTTAAAATCAGTACATGTTTTTCATTCAGGAAATATTTATTGACAGTTTCATGTACAGTGGAAAGTTCCTGCTGGAGGCATAAAGGTGAAAAGCATTTTCCTCAAATAACACTTTTTTAAGAAAATAAATACACAAAACATCACTAGAACACAGAACAAAATGTGATGGAATGCACAATATGGTTTCTGAAAAGAGGGAGACTGCATAGAAATGCATTTTTTGTTTTAAACATGGAAAAAATTAAAAAATATCAAAGTTAGTATTAAATACATTAGCTATTAAAGGTATGTACAATTCATAAACAACCACATTTTTATTTAAAATAATGAATTGGTATTCACAGAAAAGAATTAAATTCAGTTTATCATCAGCAGTGCTTAGGTAAATCTTGGGATTTGAATGTCCCGGTCTTGCTGGGGAGAAGAGTCTGAAAGGAGCTAATGATCAAGCAGTATAAAGTAGCAAGATCAGGGTCTTGTTTTATGTATGGTTCAATCCCGCCTCAGGAGTTAAAATGGAGCTCATCTGCATGACCCTGCTTGGAGTTTCAGGAGAAAAAAAATCACGTATAATAAAAAACATTATTTTAAAAATATTTTTAAATGAAGAATTGCAGATGATAGCCTATAATCCTAACACTTGAGAGGCTAAGTCAGTAATATTGCAAGTTGGAGCCCAGCTTAGGCAATTTAATGACTTAATAAGACCCTGTTATAATTTCAAAACTTTAAAAAAAGTTCAGGGGATGTAGCTGTGTGAAAACCTTGGGTTCAAGCCTCAGTACAACTTGAAAAAATGTTATAATGAAGTATTTATTCCCCCTGATGTGGATATCTGTGTATAGAACTTTGTTTATAATTTTCTTTATGATATGTATATTTTTCCAATAAAATAATTTTTACAAAAACTGCATGCTCAAAACATCTCTAAGCAAGTTATCCACAAATGCAGGGCCTCATTGTACAGAATGAATATTTCATAAATGAACACATAATCCTTACAAGATTTAAATTCCTTTCTTGATGTATTCTTCTGGCTCTAGAAGCCACCCGTGATTTGTGGAATCACTCGATGATGTTTACTGAAATTAAGTCTCACATTCTAAATCCAGAACAAGTAGTTTCCAGGGAATAATGAGATCAGAAGTAATTTCTCTTTTATAATGAAAGTTTTAAATACTTATAAAACTAGCACAGTGCATTGATCTTGGTATGGTAAAATGAAATGATTTATTTAATATATTTGAAAGATTACAAAAAACAAAAACAATTGTAGGAATATTGAACTAGATATTCAACGTGATTTTTCAATCCAGAAATAAACATTATGCCATCTGCCTTGAAAGCACAAGGTCCTGAGTTTGATCCCTGGTACAAAAAAAAAAAACAAAACCAAAACGAAACATTCCCCCCAGAAACATTATGATTTTCAATCCAGAAAGAAGCTTGCATTAAATTGAGCACGTATGACTATTCTCTGGCTAGATAACCAAGATTAGAAAGTGTTTTTTTATGTGACATGTACTTACTGGGGAAATAACTAAGAATTGTACCAGAAAAATGAATATAAACAAAAGAACACTGGACCCATTCAGTGCATATGTGCTTTTTCTATTAATTTGATTTAGAAAAAGTTATTCATATTGAAACTACCAGAATGAAAAAACAATTCACAGTATAAACTTTGGAATTCAAGAATCCTGAGCAAAGAATTCTAAGGTGTCCAATGTGCATTTAGTTATCAGTAAATTGTATGAAGGCATACAGTTTTACCAAAGCACAATAAAAAAGTACAATACACAAAGACACATTTCAAAGAAAAGTACTTATTTATTAATAGAAGAAATCATGTGCTTCTAATAAATAGTATTGATGTGTAGCTAAATAGAAATTATGAAAGAAGCAAGAACATTTTTGTATGCATTTGTTCCTTCTCCAAAGAGAGAGAGAGAAAAAGCTATGCTTTTTAAAATTTCTAGTCTGTCACAAGGGTGAATATTTCATGAGTTTTTTTGTGTATAAGAAACTCAAAATATAAATAACGTTTGTAATAGCTAAATCTTGGAAACAGCCCATTTGCCCATCCATTGGAAACTGGATAAAGAAGATGTGGTTTTTCTATAAAATGGAATATTACTCAGCTATAAAGAACGAGAAAATAGATTCATTCATGGGAAAATGGATACATATTGAAGATATACTCCTAAGTGAAATAAATAAGGCACACATGTGTAAATACTGAATAGTTTCTCTGGTGTGAATAATCTGCAATAATACAGAAGATCCTAATAAGATAACTGACATTTAGAAATGTGAAGAAAGGAGCTGAAGGTGTAGGGAAGGTGGGACGTGTAGGGGAAGGGTAATAAGGGAAAAGAAAAAAATGTGAGATAATGAAAAGATGGAAATAAAGTGTTTGTAGATGGGGAGGGGAGGAGGGGGTGAAGGGAGGGCAGAGGTAAGGGGAAAAAATGAGAACCAAGACCTGTCATGTAGAGGTACAAGATCCCAACAATGAATGTAACTGTACTGTATCCCTAAAATGTACCAATAAATTCAATTAAAGCTGAAGAAAAAAGAAACTCAAAATATAAATAAAGAACAAAATAAAAAATATCTTCTATAAAAGGGAGGGGAATCAAGAGATAGAGGGAAGGAAGAAGGAGAAAATGGGAGATGGAGAGTTGGAAAGGAGGGCAGGAGAATGGGGAAAACATAAAAACTGAGATGGATTGTGTAAAGGTGCGAATTCCCAATGATGAATGTCATTCTATTGTATGCTTTAAAAGTACCAATAAAATTAACTTTTTAAAATGAAAGAATCATATCACAGTGACATATTGCACCAATGTTTATAGCAGCACAGTTTGTAATAGCTAAAACTTGGAAACAGCCCATTTGCCCATCAGTTGGAAACTGGATAAAGATAATGGGATTTTTCTGTAAAATGGAATATTACTCAGTGATAAAGAATGAGAAATTAGATTCATTCATAGGAAAATGGATACATATTGAGGATATACTCCTAAGTGAAATACATAAGTCACCCATGTGTAAATACCCAATAGTTTCTCTGGTGTGAAAAACTATAATGGTACATTAGATCCTAATGATATAATTGACAATGTGAAATAGGAAGAAAAGGGCTAAAGGTGTAGGGAAAGTGAGAAGGGTAGGGGAAAGGTAATAAGGGAAAAGAAAAAAATGGGAGAAAATGAAAAAATAGAAATAAAGTGTTTGTAAATGGGGAGGGGAGGATGGAGTGAAGGGAGGCCAGGGACAAGGGGAAAAAATGAGAACCAAGACCTGTCATGTAAAGGTACAAGATCCCAATGATGAATGTAACTGTACTGTTTACCTAAAATGTACCAATAAACTCAATGAGGAAAAAAATTTTTTTTTAATTTAAAAAAATGTGTTAGGTATATATACCAACTCCCCATGAAAAATACATTCATTATGTACTGTAAATATGTGCTAATAAAAATAAAAAAATAAAAATTGATGCCAAAGGAAACAAAACAAAAGTAAATAAATAAAAATTGGGGTCTAAGAGAAAGGAATCTACAAGATAGCCCACAGCAGATCCACCTTTCTCATAGACGTGTGACCCTCTGCTCTGAATACCAAGAGCACTTTCTCTCTAACTTCGTGGCCTGTGCAGGGTGCTGTGAATCACACAGTTCAGTTAGTTTGGAGCCTGTATTAACTAAATATATTTTCCACCCTTGATATATGCTTTCTATTATAACGTTCATATCAATGTTTTTTACTTCTTCTGAATATATTTATATTTATAGGTTCATATATATTTTTGAAAACTATAAAAGTTCAGAACAATTCCAAATTAAGAGAGAAGTAAATTAATTTAAATTAAGGTTAAATGATAAGAGGGAATCATAAAACTCCCGGTTTAAACATATAATAATTTGTCAAGTTTCTGAACTTTATGTAAATTTTTATGAGTGCGATACTTACCAGCAAAATAACTCATTGAATAGATGAATGTTTTTATTTATAACACTAATGTTTTTTTTCCATTTTAAATAATGGAACTGATTTCTTTGATGGAAATATTTCCTGTTTTATTTTTTCTGACCCTGTTATCATATTTTTCAATGTAGAAATCTGACACAAGATATTGCAGCCTTTCTCTTTGGCTCCTCTGAACAAAGGCATATTAGCTCTCTGTTTCTTTTGGTTAATTTATATTTTATGAAGGAAATGCTACATAGAAGAGAAAGGATACATATCCAGGAATTAAACCTACGTGAAGTAATAAAAGCCAAGATTCACAGTTTTAAAATGTCCTTCAGTAGATCTCGTATCTGGTTTTTTTGTTGTTGTTTGTTGTTGTTAAATATTCTCAGAGAAACTACTAAGAAATTATTATGTAACTGTCATATAAGGAAGCTCAGAGAAGCCTCAGTAGCCCCGGATAATAAATGCCAGTGATAAATGGCAGAGTGGCTCAAGTCCCTTACATTAAATTTTGGTTGGAATGTTATATTTATCAAGAAACATTGCACTTGAATTTCACCTGGATTTGACCAGGATCAAAGCTGAACCATAATTCAGTTATTTTACAATAAGATATCTTGTATGTGGATTATTCTTCATTTTCTCCCTGATGAATCTATAGTGAATCTCTTTTCAGTCATTCTTGTCGAAAACAAGAACCTACTCAGCAAACAAGTTTATGGAGAAGGAGTTCTCCCTGAACACTTGGCCTGTAACAATGAGCTTGATGGCCTTTCGAAACCAAGGGTAAAAGAAAGTATATCAAGGGATTTTGCTGAGTTGTAGTAAGCGACCCAAACTAGTATCTCATACACATAAGTGGGTGTGATGAAGCCCAGAAAGGCATCGATGATGGAATCGATGAAGTACGGCAACCAGGAGATCAGAAACGCTATGACTGCGATTCCCAGGGTTGTTGCTGCCTTTCTCTCCCTCTTGGCTACCCTGTCTTTGTAGCTGTCAGACGATTTTGCAGTCTTATGGCTCAGACTTTCAATTTTCCTAGCTTGCTGTTTAGCTATGAGGAAAATCTTGGAGTAAAGAGTTATCATCACAAGTGTGGGGATGAAGAATAACAGGAAGTCGATCAAGACCCAGTTTTGATTGACTGCGATCTGACAGCCTCCCACACAGGTGAGAGCACTCACTAGTTCCTCCAGCCCAGCTTCAGTTGCTCTGCTATAAAAAAGTGAAAAGCTGTAAATTACAGCAAGCAACCAGGAGAGAGCGATACATTTGCCAGACAAGGCAACAGTGAACTTACTTGGATAGACCAGGGGGTCGGTGACGGCGATGTATCTGTCAATGGAAATAACGCACAAGTGGAAGATAGAGGAATAACAGAAGGAGCCATCAAAACAGGAGTGGAATTTACAGTAAGCATCCCCAAAGTACCAGCAGCTCTCCACAGACCTGACCATGCTGAAGGGCATCACAGTGGTCCCCACCAGGAAGTCAGCACAGGCCAGAGAGGCGACCAGAAAATTGGCTGGGGAGTGGAGCTGCTTGAAGTGCAGGATGGAAGTCATCACCAGCAGGTTTCCAAACACAGCCAGCACAGCCCCAGAGCCAAACACCAGGTACAGAAGCAGGCGGGGGCCTGGGGAGTAGGGAGCTTTCACACAGGATCCGTTCACGTCCTCGTAGCACAGCTGGACAGCTGCAGGAGGGGCGGGTTCACCACTGCGCATGATTTTGATACTTGGCAACCTTGACGTCTTCTATGGCCAACTGTATGCTTTCCACCTTCAAAAATCCTCAAAAAATATATCAAACACTCTCAAATGTGAATAGGTCTATAAAATTTTCCTTTTCTTTGCAACTTTTCCCCATATTTAGGCACTTACCAGTTCTAATGTCGTCATCTGATAAAATTATTAGATACGCAAGTAATCAACTTTCAGTACTATATAAAATGCTGTTTATTTTCAATGTGAAATATTTTTCTTTCTTACCTTATGTCTTCATATCTGAACAGTGTTTTTCTTTCAAAGGAATGATCTGTTTTCTAATGCATTTTTGAGCGCATCATTAGGGTTCTTATTCTAATTGAGCACTTTTCCCTCAGGTAAGTAGTGCAATAATTTCCCATATCTATTTCCCCAAAGATTGAATCCTACTGTTCAAGGTGAGAAGTAAGACTTCAAATTGCACTCCACCCCCTTCCCCATGGGAGGATCTAACTCAGGACCTTGCTCTTGCCAGGCAGGCGAAGTGCCACTGAGGCACACCCCATCCCTTCTATACACTTCTAGTTTGCTGACAGCATTTGGTGTTTTCTTATGATGAAATGTGAATAATAGATGTGCTGACAAACCTTTGCTCAGAATTTGAAAGCATATTGTTTGTTCCAGTTAATTATTGTACACTACCTGTTTCATAAATATGAGGCTTTTTTTTTTTCTGTACCAGGGATCGATCTCGGGTCCTTGCACTTGTGTGGCAATATATTGTTTGTTCCAGTTAATTATTGTACACTACCTGTTTCATAAATATGAGGCTTTTTTTTTTCTGTACCAGGGATCGATCTCGGGTCCTTGCACTTGTGTGGCAGGCAGTGGAACCACTGAGTTAACCCCCCACCCGAGACGTTTTTATTAATTGTTTGCATGTTGTCACAATAACTCTTTCAGATAAGCTTTTCATTCTTTCCAGCATGGATTTGTGTTTTTTAATAACTTTTTTGTTGTTTGTTTTTTGGTACAGGGGATCAAATTCTGGTCTTTGTGCTTACAAAGCAGGTGTTGGAACCACTGAGCTAAATACCCAGCCCAATAAATTATTTTTCAGTACACTTTTGCAGTACTTAACTAAATCATGGGTAATGGATTCATACACCTAAGCTGCATTTGTGAATATATTCAATTATGTTTTAACAACTGTAACCTTCACTCAATACATTATAATCAAAATCCCAGAAATCCAACGTATGACAACATCTCATAAACATATATCAAGTTATTACATTTTAAAAGAACTGCTAATACATGACAAATTAGCAGGTGAAGAACTGAGCTCCAATAAGAGTTGAGAGTGCTTATACATATCTCTGAAAAATATCATTTACTATCTGCTTACTGATGGGAATCAGAAAGTTCAAATAAAATTTAAATCATACATGTCATTTAACACTACATTTCTTTCCCGTAAATAACCTTAGAAGAATCAGGTGAGTAATTACAATGAAAAGGATATTCATGGGATAACTCAATGAATAATTACAATAAACAACAAATAAATGTGAATAAATTAATTATATTACATTCTACTAGTGTAATGGACTGTTATGGAGCCATTTAAAAGCACTAAGAAGTTTTGCATATTTGAAATGATAATACAAACACAACACATTTTAACTAGGAACCAAAAAACTCTCTAATGCATATTACAAGAGTCTAGGCAATCAGACTGTGTGAATATCCTAAAGCACGTTTTTGAAAAGTTCTATTTTATGTATAACAGAGGGGATTTACTTTGTAAATTAATCCTGGAAGCGCACCCATAGCCATAGAATATGACTGCATTCTCTGCTATCAAAAGAGAATCGTGAGCAGTCACCTGACCACTCCTGTGGTTGTTTCTATCCTGCTAAGAAACATGTCTGCATCCTCAATGGCTACCAGAAGCGGAAAAGATAATCTGCCGTAGGGGAAAATTGAGACAGATGACATGTATTGCTTGAAAGCACTAAAGAACTGCATGATGTTTAGAGGCAGCACATTGATAAGGATAGACAGGATACCAGCTGTGCTCTCAGGACACTGTCACTAGGAGCACACCTGCAACTTGCCTCTGTTCCCATAATACACAGTGTTCCTCCTGAATGCAAAATTTTTGCAGTTAGTGGTGATTGATATTTCTGTCCCTGATGTTAAAGAAATGTCAAACCAGAGTAGGAACAAGAAGACAGAAGGGGATTCCATGGGAGTGCTCACAAGGTGGGAATGGTGGAGCACTACAGAGCAAGGAAAAGCATCTTCAACCTTCCTGAAGAGATGTTCAAGATAGCAGTGCAAGGATGCAACTTCGAAGAGATTTGTGAACTTGTGTCGAAGAGATTTGTGAACATTATAAAGAGTGAAAGGTATTTTTATTAAACCATCTGTCCATCTAATAAAAACAGCACTTAACCAAATATTCTTCCATATTCCTTTTAATATTTTTCTGAATGTCTGATTTGGTGAAATGATACCAATTTATTAGATAAGCAAACTTCTATGTCAGGATCCCCAACCTAAGCACTATGGACATTTAAATTCTAATAACATTTGGTGCAGGGGAGTAAGTTGTCTAGATTTTGTGGCATATACCATCCCTTTAAGCAGATGCCCGTAAAACCTCCCAGTTATGCCAGCCAAAAGTGTTTCTAAATTTTGACAAATGCATAGGTCCAAAATCAGCTCCCATTAAAAATACTGTTCTAAAAAATAAAAAAAGCGTACAGTAATTTTGAGTAGAGTAGTGATACTTCATCTCCATCATTTAAGAGCTATTTGTTAATTGTCACCTGAAATCATATTCAGTGAATTCCTGCTACTGAGTATAAAGGAGTGAATCTAACACGTGGTCTCTATTCAGAGAAAGCTTAAGTTCTTGACAGGGAAACAGACTTGAAAGAAGTATGTGGAGAAGTGGATCTATGAATTCAAATCTTCAGTAGCACAAGAACTAGCGCAAAGAATCAACAACTGGGATCTCATCTTATTAAAAAGCTTCTGCACTGTAAGAGAAACCACCAACAGAGCTAAGAGAACCTACAATGTGGGAAAAAATTTTATCAGTTGCTCCTCAGACAAAGGTCTACTATCTAGAATATATAAAGAACTTTTAAAAAATCAGATCCCCTCAAATATAAAGACCCAATTCAAAAACGGGCATCTGAAATGAACAGACATTTCTCAGAAAAAGAAGTAAGCAGCAAATAAACATATGAAAAAATGTTTGACATCACTGGTCATTTGAGAGATGCAGATGAAAACAAAGCTGAGATTCCACCTCACCCCAGAAAGAATGGCTGCTATCATGAAGTCACCCAATAACAAATGTTGGCAGGGTTGTAGGGAGGTAGAGTCCCTTCTTCATTGTTGGTGGGAGTGCAGACTGGTGCAACCTGTGGAAATCAGTATGAAGATACTTCAAACAACTAGTATTAGAAGTCCCATTTGACCCAGCCATACGTATGCTCCCCAAAATTAAATGAATCATACCACGGAGATATATGCTCACCCATGTTTTTTTTTCTTTTTATTGAGTTTATTGGTACATTTTAGGTATACAATACAGTTACATTCATTATTGGGATCCTGTGCCTTTACATGACACGTCTTGATTCTCATTTTTCCCTCTTGTCCCTGGCCTCCCTTCACCCCCTTCTTCCCTCCCCATTTACAAATGCTTTATTTCCATTTTTCATTTTCTCATATTTTTTTCCTCTCCCTTATTACCTTTCCCCCACCCTTCCCACTTTCCCTACACTTTTAGCCCTTTTCTTCCTATTTCACATTATTAATCATCTCATTAGGATCTTGTGTACTATTATAGTTTTTCACACCAGAGAAACTATTTGGTATTTACACGTGTGTGGCTTATTTATTTCATTTAAGAGTATATCCCCAATATGTATCCATTTTCCCATGAATGACTCTAATTTCTCATTCTTTATGGCTGAGTAGTATTCCATTTTATAAAAAACCCACATCTTCTTTATCCAGTTTCCAACTGAGGGCAAAGGGGCTGTTTCCAAGTTTTAGCTATTACAAACTGTGCTTATATATATATACCAATAATAGCAGTATGTTATGAATCAATAGCAGCAACAGCTTTTCCAGGTTCTGCAGTCATCTGAACAAAGTTATGGACATTCAACATACTCCATTAAAAAAACAAAAACAAAAAAACAAAGAAAAGAATATTACCCAGAAAACAGCAAAGTTCTGTTGCTGCTGTGGTACCTGGCACCATTATTTTTATTAGCATCTTAATCATCATCTGGAAAGAGAACATTCTAGAGTAACATCATTAAAAAGAGCTCTGATAAAGCATGGTCACTGCTATGTATCATAAAGCAGGTACAAGATATTTTACATTCACAGAGGTATATGATAAAGTACTGTCCTACATCTATAATACTCAAATCAGTTTTGGTTTAAAATTTACTTTGTCTATGAATAAGACTGCTACCCCTGCTTTTTTGTGGGCTCCTGTCACATGGAGAATTGTTTTCCATCCTTTCACTTTCAGTCTATTGGCTTCTTTTTGCACTAGGTGTGTTTCTTGTATAAAACATATTGTTGGATTTTGCTTCTTAATCCATTCTGCCAGTCTATTTTTCTTGATTGGTGAGTTGAGGCCATTGACACTGATGGTTATAACTGATATGTACTGACTTATTATTGTCATGTTATTGGCCTTTTGTTGACTCTTTTTACTTTTTCACCTTCTCCTTTTAGTTTCTTGCCTTGCCTATTTGATTTGCTTTCTTGGTCCTCATGGTGTTGTTACTTTCATTGTCTTTTTCTAGGATCTTGTTTAGAATTGGTTGTAGTGTGTAGTTTCTTAGGTGTTCTTTGTTGTGGAAGTATCTTATTTCCCCATCCATTTTGAAAGAGAGTTTTGCATGATACATCTGTCTAGGTTGTAGGTTGTTTTCTTTTAGGACTTGAAATAGCTCACTCCAGGCTCTCCTTGACCTGAGGGTTTGTGTTGAAAAGTCTGCTGTGATTCTGATGGGTTCCTTTGCATGTGATTTGTTTCTTTTCTCTTACTGCTTGTAGTATTTTGTTTGTTCTTCTGTTGGGTTTCTGAGATCTTGATTATTATATGGCTAGGTGTAGATTTTTTTTTTTATTGTGACTAGTTGGAGTCCTCACTTATCTGAATATCAAATTCTTCCCCTC